CGGGTGGCGTTTCAGAAGCTAGCACGGAGTTCCCTCTAACTCATCGTGGGCAGGGTTAGCTCTGTGGGAAGAGGCATATAAAAAAGGGGAATATTCACTCTGCTCCCTACAGCAGGTACCTGCCAAAGGGTAGGAAGAGCCAGAATGAGATTCGCAATCAAGCGGTAAGGTAAATGCTGGATCACCCCTCGTTCAGTGTGACGCCGCAGCTTTTAAAATTAAGTAGTACGTTAAAACATCCTCTCTACAGCTAAGCCACCTCCCTTCTTCCTTGAAAGTTACAGTGCTTTGGCAATATCGGCTAGGAGAGAATTCTTGACTGTATCACAACAAATACTTCAGCTTCATCTTAATATACCGAGGAAGAGCACGGAATCACGCTTTGATGTTGGCATTTCACACCTTGAGAGCTTGTGACCAGTCATGTTGAGAAGTGTTTACTATTAGACAAAACAAATTTGCAATAAACGGGACCGATTTGAGGGAAAACAAGAGGAACGGGATTCAGCAACAGATTCTGTTCTTGCGATGTCGAGTTACTCGCACTTGAAACTCTGCCAGAACCAAGCAAATCCTACTTATCATTGCAAAATCTTTGCCAAAGCACACCCAAGGGCAAAAGTCTCTCAAACAAACATACGTAGATTAAAAGCTGCCAGAAAGATCAGCCTGCAGGGCTGGCTGCCTTCTACTTCTTGTACACTGGCAACTTATGAGATCAAAGTCAGAACCAAGTCCAGCCTTTTTCAGGCGCAGGATATGCCTACGGAGGTTTACCTGAGCAAGTCTTCAGCAACTACTAATGCCCCACAGGGAGGTCATTTTACAGTTTATTCCATCATCGGCTCTGACGTACTTAATTGAGAAATGACTTTACTGAACACGATGCAGCAGTTGGGGAAGCCAGCCGAACTGTGTAGAGTAAGATAACCAAATGCAACTTGAGACAACTTGAGAGTAAGGACTGGTTGGATTTTTTTCCACCCCCAACAGGCTAAAATGTCTTCAACCTGATTTTAGAAGCAGGTTAATTTATATGGAGAAACATCACAAGTTTTACATTCAGGAAACAAATCCTGGACATAGTTCTGTCGTGAATTTCTCACGCAGAGTCTTTTGAACGACAAGAAGTGGTACAAGCTGATGACACTGCTGCAGGAAAAAAAAACCCAAACAAACCACGTTTGGCTGAGTTGTAGTAAACCCGTAACAAAGCCCTCCTCTTCAAGCTACAACCTCTTACGTTACTTTTGCTGATGCCAGTGGATCCTGTCCAAAGACTGAGGCAATATGGCCTAAAACGCATCATGTCTTCAGCTAGGAAGAGAAGGAATTGATACTAAAATGGCTCTGAAGCTTGGATGGGTGGAAAGTGAATCATAAAATATAGCACTCATCAAAAAATGAGATAATCCTCCAATGGCGAAGGTGAGCTGGAAGATCCCATAGCAGCACTTCTGCGCTCCTGGGTATGCGGTAGTCTCTTGGCAGGAAACTCCCAACTGTACAGCAAAATTAGTAGGTACAAAACAGCAATACCAAATTTGCAGACAAACACTTGCTTTCAATACGGGAAAGCAGCTAAAACTCACAGAAACTCAGGGAGATCGTGGCCTATATCAAACCCAACGTATTCTTTGTTGCTGTTTATGCAGAGACAGGAGGAACATTCAAGTGCCAAGTTCCCTGCTTTTGGTGGAACACAGAAGAAACGGAGCAAGTTTCTGAAGCCCTCGCATGGAAAAGGCCGCCTACTAAAAGTGTCCGTAAGCATATCTTATGTATCAGACGTTATCCATCCAGAAACACCAAAGATCCATGTTTCTGAATAAAAATTATCTTTCTCACATTTGCAGAGATTTTAGTCTTCTGGGAGTCAGTTTTACCAGCTTTTCAGCAAAGACTTAATGTTAGGACCATTGGCTTTTTAATTAAGAACTAGGATAAAAGTATAAATCTCAAGATTCGGTCATAAAACCCCCTTTACATAAAGGGTGAAAGCAGGGGGGGAAAAAAAAGGTCACAAGTATCCACCCACGTCTTTGTACATCACCTACATATTTTCCATTTCAAAATACTGCAGTACACTCGAATATGAAAGTTAACTTGATTAAAAATAAGACCATCTGTTTTAGGCTTTATTCTTCCCAAAAAATAAAATACCACAAATTTGCAGTCTGCTTTATATTTTTGCTTTTGCTGAACTCATCACTGAACCTATACGTTGAAAGAAAATTAGCGACCTCCTTCAAAAGGGAGGTGTTATTAGAGATATACTGATTTATAAGAGACAGGACAATGGATGCCCTGTGCTGACATTAGCACGGCTCTCTTGGTATTGTATGGGATATGGTTGTATACAATCCAACTCGTAGCCACCTCCACTAGGAACTTCAAAACACAAGTTGCTACTCAAGATACGCAGGTATGTTACAAGTTCAGAAAAATCTCACATTTCAGGACAGTGTCGAGTCTACTCTTCCCCTTCTGGCAAGCAGCATGTTTATGGCAGCCCTGAGTATGGGAATTATTTCACACCCTTACGTACTTAGGGAAGATATAGGCCAGATGACAGAAAATACTCTGAAACAGCACAGAATTGGCAATCTCAAGATATTTACAGGCAAAGAAGCATCTCACACCGTAATTTAAGTTATTGCTTCTTGTGGACAAGTCTGGTATTCCTTGATCGAGACACAGGACTTGTTTGGCGTTTATTTTCCCCTTCTGAAACACAATAACTCTGGACCACTGTGAGGATGTTTTTAAAATGAAGGTGTTGTCTACGACAAGAGCTACGTCGACAGTGTGGTCATCACCAACTGACCAACAGCTGGTGATACAAAGCTTACATAGGTGAGTTTCCAGAGGCATTTTTGAAGCCAAGCATCACTGTCATGCTTCCAGGGTCATTCTAGGCTTGGTCTATATTACAGGTTTTGATACAAGAAAACCTCCCAAGGCCTTTCAGAAGAGATTTCTGGATACCAAGAATGCCAAACTAGGATCTAAGGCTGACCTTGTATCAGTTCCTCAAATAATCCAAGGTATTGCTGCTCTACCATGCTGACGGAAGCAGCAACGGACTCTTACCTGCAAACCCACGCATCAGTGTGATTGCTAGTGGCGTGCTTTTCAAACACTGACACTGGTCCTAAATCTAGGACAGCCGTGATAACTACTGGGTCTTTAAACCAGCTACTTGCATCTGAGTACAGAAAGTTAAGGTTTTTGAAAAAACAGTAAATGAATTAGAAATATGAACTACCAAAACTGAGCTTAAGTTGTAAACACCTTTATAACATTTACCTACTTAATCCCCAAGCCAAAGGCTATCTATGACCTCGGAAGCACAGGACACCAAAACACTTATCTACCCCCTTTACATTATTACAAGTGAGTTTCTGTAGGCACAAAGCCAACAGTAAACATTAAATCACTGCAAATGCAAAAGCTTCACTTTCA